AAAAGTTTACCTGAGGCAACATTGTTTATTTTACTGAGTGGAAAGAAAAATTTTCGCAGATTACCTTAATGCTGTTGTTCCTTTCGTGTCTTTCTTAACTCAAATCTTTCGAATACAGTAATCATGTTAGAATGGGTCGCATTTGTTTACTAGAAATGAAGTTCTTATGCACCACTCTGAAGTTTTAGAGCATAAGGAAAGTGGACATATTGACGTTAATAGTGTGCGCAAAAGATAGATTTGATCGCTCTGAACTGAGTTTACCACCTATATAGCATAAAATTGTTTCATTCAAATTTGAATTAATTCGAGTAAGCCTCTCATATATCTTCATGGGGGTGATCTCCTGTAGATTCACACCAACTCCTTTAGAAAACCCAATATCTGATTTATTTTTCTCTCTAAGCTATGCAGCTCTAATCAACATCTTATGTCTGTTCTTACAAAACATGAATCACTTTTGATATGTAACCGCGAAGAAATTCTTGCTTTTTCATCATGCAGTGACATTTTGGAACGAAATGGTAGCGAATACTGTGACTCATATGAGCCCCAACATGCAATGGTATTTGCTATTTACATACTGCGGCATCTTGATTGAAAAGGACCAGTCGAATGATCTTTGTCAAAACAGATTTTCTGAGTGGACAATTTCACTTCTCATATCAGCCAAAATGATTGATGAACATATGTAGATAACCAGATGCAGTTGATGAATTGTTTTTCTTCTGCAATTTTTTTTTTGCATATAGTCAGTAAACGCTTTGCTCTTGAATTAGGAAAAATATATGAACACATGGTTCTATCAAGTGCCTTTCGTTTAGAAAGCGGCAAAAAAAATAAGACTGGTGAAAAAATTTGGGGAATTACCATTTTGAAATGGACACCGTTAGGACATCGCTGCAAAAAATGCAAAGAAATTTGTTAGTTTCAAATGAAAATTTTATGTTTCAGCTCATTTTGCCATATGTCGACCTCGATATTAAATATTTTGATCTCGGTCTGCCTCACAGAGATGAAACTGATGATCAGGTAAAAAACCTCCTTTTTAGTTCTGGAGTGCAAAGTTTTCTTATGTCATTCCTAGATCACCGTCGATGCTGCCGAAGCAATTAAAAAGTACAGTGTAGGAATCAAATGCGCTACAATAACGCCAGATGAGGCAAGGTCCGTAGATATGGAGTTACTGCAGGAATTCATTGCCATTTTTTAGAGTGAAAGAGTTCAAGCTGAAGAAAATGTGGCTTTCACCAAATGGAACAATTCGAAACATTCTTGGTGGTGAGCATTTGCACCACTCAAATTGTTGCCTCTAGCTATTTGGCTCACATTTTCTATAATTGTGGACTAAATTTATTTATGTACCTTGTTATTTCCTTCCAGAATGATACAAACTTTGTAGGTACCGTATTCCGTGAGCCAATCCTTTGCAAAAACATTCCACGACTTGTGCCAGGCTGGGTAAAACCCATTGTTATTGGTAGGCACGCGTTCGGAGATCAGGTAATTTGATTTCAGCGATACCTTTAGTACCCGATAAAATTTCTTGTATGTGACAATATGACAGAAAATCAACAGCTAGTTCTGGGAATTGAGCGATTTTAGAATTTTACTAATTTTTATCTACTTTGAAAAATATCATACTCTCTTCTACAAATTCATGTCAGTCATCTTTTCCCTAATTTCAGTACCGCGCAACAGACCTCGTCGTACCGCAAGGAGCCACATTACAATTGGTTGTCAAAGGTATTTCCTGAGCAGTTTGATTGATCTTCAAAATATGGTGCAGGACAAAAACCCTGATTCATGGCCTCGTGCAAGTCGTTTGTCATTGGTGTTTACACACGTGTTCAGTGACTAATTTGACTTTTCCGCGAAGCTTCAATAGAATTCTATTACTAGAATTCTGTTGTTTTCTGGGAAATATGGTAAGAAAACGGTAGTTTCAGTGGGTGCCTTTAGTTCCATAGCGAATTATGGTATCTGGCCCATGCCTATCTCTTCACATGTGATGAACTGTCCTTCTAGAAGAAAACACTGGGATGTTGGTAGCTACCGAAATTTGTACTTACATATTTACAAATTTCTGATTAGAAGGGTTTCAATTTTTTCAAGAAGCTATGCTTTTGCCAATGCTTTCGAAAAGTGAGTTCGGAGATCAGCTTTTATCTGTTTTGCATCGTCGACCAAGCTACCTTTTCTGATCATTTTGTGGGCACTGGCTGAGCTATGGGAGGTGCGATATGCACAACTTGCTTTATTTACCGTAACCCTACCGTAACCTCTGAGGAAGGCGGTTGTTACAAAGGGATGAATACTCGCTATGTATGTGTATGAGGACGCATTTAACTACGTAACGAAAAAGCAACTGAATTCTCGAGTATTTACAAATCGCTTCTAGAACGGTCCTCCGTTTTGCGAATTATTTTTTTCTCCAAATAAGTGACAGTCTCGTAGGTTTGATTGAATAAGTGGGCTAATGTCCCACTGAAGCGGACAAGTTGTATCGAGGCCTTATTAGGCCTTATTTTTAGCAGAGAATGATAATGAGTAGACAATCTCATATTTATATCTATGACTGAAAACATTTAGGAGCGGATGGTAAAGATGAAACTAGGACTGTCTTTGAATATACAAAATCGG